AGAGAGAGAGAGAGAGAGAGAGAGAGAGAGAGAGAGAGAGAGAGAGAGAGAGAAGAAAGAGAGAGAGACAGACAGGCAGACAGAGAAAAGAGAGAGCACGAGAAAGAGAGAGAGAGACACACACGTTATGATGAAAAAAACGAGGATCCGCACAGCCGCCCCTCAGCGAAGTGCCTCGTGCACAGTTTATCAGACACGACGGACGTACACCAGTAGTCGCCCGATGCGCCAACTTCATCCTGAACGCACTATAGCGACGCCGACTTCTCAANCTACTAGGCACTTAAAAAAAAAAACCTAACCCTAACCCTAACCCTAAAAAAAAAAAAATTAAATTAAAGTGCCTAGTAGTCATATCATATCGAACCTTTCTGCCTTTTGCCACACGCTCGTGTTTTACGTACGTACAACATTTTCACGCAGTGGAGCATTATGGAGCCAGTGGGTTGTGTAGAACCAGTGGGTTCGTTGTCATGACACCGTGACGTCAGACTTCGGTACTCTATAGGAGGCGTATAACAGTAAGCATCCGCGATTGTTCACCGTTGCACTACTTCGTCTCTAGAAAAGGCCTTTTTTGGCATTTTTTTTCGCCGAAATTCGGCACTAGAGTGCAATAATTAGCATTATGCACGCAAGTTGGACGCCTTGGACGCAAGGTGGATAAAGTGGTTTGAACGGTTCAAGGTAGCCTCAGGGTTAGATGACAAATCCCCACAGCACCAGGTGAACACGTTGATATTGTATGGGAGAGAAGGCAGACGAGATATTTTCTTCCTTTACATTTGCTGTATCAGAAGCAAGTGATGAGTCTCAAGACTTTGAATGTGTCAAGAAGAAGTTCGAGGAATACTTCATTGTCCGCCATAACATAATCATTAAAAGAGCTAAATTCAACGGGAGAGTGCAAGGTCTGGATGAACCAATTGATTCCTTCATTACTGCTCTACACACACTCGCCGAGCATTGTGAGTCTGGCACTCTAAAAGAAGAGCTAATTAGGGACAGAATCGTTGTTGGCATTCGAAACAAGCATCTCTCTGAGCGTATGCAAGTAAATAAGAACTTCACCCTGAAGCTTGTAACAGACCTAGCTCGTCAGTCAGCCCAGGTAAAGAATCAGGTAAGAGAGTTGACGTCAACTACGGTAGTCGGTGCTGAAGCTTTATCCGTACATGCCAAAGGTCGATGTGACAAGAAGTCTGCACGTTCGACGTCACAGTATCGTCAGAAGAGGTGTTCGTGGTGTGGAAACTATGCTCATAATCGCTCTCTGTGCCCTGCCAAAAATGTAAACTGCCGGCGATGCCAACTAAAAGGGCATTTTGAGAAGGTATGTAAGGCCAAGACAGTAAATGAAGTAACTACACAGTCTTGTTCATACGCTTCGT